TTGGCTCTGGCTGGTATGGCTCAGTTGGTTGGGTGTCATTGTGCACTGAAAGGTTGCTGGTTCGATTCCCAGTCAGAGCACATGCCTGGATTGCAGGCTTGCTCTCACATCGATGTTTCTCACTCCCCCTCTCCTTTCCTCTGCCTCTAAAAATTAATAAAAAATATTTGTTAAAAAATAGTTATCGCCCTAGCTGGTTTGGTTCAGAGAATAGAGCGTCAGCCTGCGGACTGAAGGGTCCCAGGTTCGATTCTGGCCAAGGGCACATGCCCGGGTTGCGGGCTCGATCCCCAGTAGGGGGCGTGCAGGAGGCAGCTGATCAATGATTCTCTCTCATCATTGATGCTTCTCTCTCCCTCTCCCTTCCTCTCTGAAATCAATACAAAATATATTAAAAAAATAGTTATCTGTTGAATGGAGTTTTTCAAAGATGAGTAGGTATACTAGTATTCACCAGGTGAATGTAATCAGAATAAGGAAGGATGGTGTGTGGGAGAGCAGAGTGTATGAAACATGTGTACAGAGAACAATAAACCAACATCACTGGAGAGGAGGCAGCAAAGGAGGCAAGATACATTAAGGCCAGGTCACAAGGAAGTTTCCTAGCCAAGGTGACTAAATGATATGAGCAAGGACAAAGATCCCAGAAAGAGCATGACAGAGGGAGAAAGATGGGTTCAGTTTGGGACATGCTAAGTCTGAGGTGACTGGGAGATGACTGGTAAATATATATATATACATACAGGTATATCTATAATAATAAAAGCATAATATGCTAATTAGAGCAGACGTCCTTTGAGATGTCCTTCCGGGCAACCTTCCTGACAAAGCCGGGGCTGGAAGGGAAGCCAGGGTCCTGGGTGCCTGCCGGTGGCCAGAGGGAAGCCTGGGTCCTGGGTGCCAGAGGGAAGCCGGTGCCAGCAGCCGGGGGAAGGAAGGTCTACTCTTGCACAAATTTCGTGCATCGGGCCTCTAGTATTTGTATATATGTGTGTGTGTGTGTGTGTGTGTGTGTGTGTGTGTGTGTGTGTGTATAGATATAGATATAGATGTATATAGATAGATACTGCACTGAAAGGTTGCCGGTATACATATATCTGTATACACACACACACACACACACACACACACACACACACACACACACGGCTGATAAGACAGAGAAGGCATCAGCATATACACGGCAGGTAAAGTCAGGTAAAAGAAAGCCTGGGAAACGTCCCTTAGATTTGGAAAACAAGAAGAGCACCACTGGTCACTGGATAAGAGCACTTGAAGTGATATGAACACAAGTCAGATTTCAGACATGAAGTGAGAAGTTAACTAGTGGAGAAAGAATGGAGATAAACTGTTACTGGAGAGCCCTCTGAGTGGGATGGGGTTGACTCTCCTCGGCTCCTATCAGCTCGCAAGAAGGAATTCAGATGAGTAACAGACAGCAGTGTTGAAGCAAAGCAAGCGAATTTATTAAGAAAGCAAAACAAGAGAATTTATTAATAAACATGGCAGCCCTGGCCAGTGGTGCTAAGTGGTTAGAGCGCTGGCCCACAGACTAAAGGTTCAATCTCTGCCCCAGGTCAGGGCACAAACAGGAGGCAACAAATCGATGTGACACACATTGATGTTTCTCTCCCCGCCACCCCCCAATCTTCCCTTCCATTCTCTCTAAAAACCAATGGGGGAAAATATCCTCAGGTGAAGATTTAAAAAAAAAGAATAATTGTGGCAGCCCTGGCTCAGTTGGTTAGGCATTGTCCTGTGCATGGAAAGGTTGCCAGTTTGATTCTGTCAGAGCACATGATCGGGTTTTGGGCTCAATTCACAGTAGGGGGCGTGCAGAGGGCAGTCAATCAATGTTTCACTCTCACACTGATGTTTCTCTCTCCCTGCCTCTCTTCTAAAAATCAATAAAAATACTTAAAGAGAAAATAGAAGAATATACATGGCATAAAGCACAAGCAGGCAACTCAGTTAGTTTGAATGTACCACCCAGAGGGGGTGCAAGGGGTTTTATACTCTTCCCCTTATAGGTTTCAAAGCTCCTCTGCCAGATTATCTTGGGTGGCAGACTAGGTTTCAAAGTCCTCTTCTACATTGTTGTGGCTTATCTTGGAATGTTTGTACATATATCTGGTCATTTTGTTTGGCAAGTCCTAAGATGGCTGACTTCTTTGTATAGTGGGTGACATCAACTTCCTTTTTTCTCCCCTCCCCTTCCTCCTGCCCTAGCAGCTATCTTTCCTAACATCTCCCAAGTGATACTATCCAAATGCTTTTGGGGTTTTGTCCCCCAGACTTTATCTGTCTTTGGGTTTAGCTGGCACAAATGGCATTAGTTAGATCTTGGCTCTCTATTTTACCAGGCCAGGGTGATTTAAGCAATGTATTCTCTGGTTAGGGAGGAGGGGTATAAACCATTTGCTCTCAAGTGTCTTGGCTGGGGAAGATAAGGTCTTGCAATTTACAAGCTGGCTGCAAGCTGCTCAAATTGTTTGGCCTTGTTTAATTTTCTTGTCTCAGTTTCCCCATTCCACTTGCCCAGGAATTTTCCTAGCTTCTTACTATCCTGCCACATAAACCATTACCAAATACAAGTGGATTTGACACCAACTCTTCCATGCAGGCATTAGAACCCAGCATGGCTTTTCTGAGCTAACATTAAAATAACCAAGACTATTTATTTTGCTTGGTCTTTTCTAGGGACATAGGTTCCATTCCAGTGGCGCATGAGATGAAATAGGTGATATCAACCAGCAGTCCCTTGCTAACTCATGCCAAACTGGTCCTCCAGTCAAGGCAAGCAGGTCAAGGCCACACTGGATTCTTTGGTTGCAAGCTCAGAAATTACCTTTGCTACTTTAAACAAGATGGAATTTACTGGATGTTCACAGTTTCATAGCAAGAAAAAGACAAGGGCAAAATAAATGAATTCTTACTGATCACTCCCTTTGTTCCTCTGCTCAAGACACAAATTCTTGGTGAGAAGCATATAATTGGCCCAAATTAGTCATGAGCCTACTGCTTGGCTAAGGAAGGGAGTTCCCCCAAATTACAGTCCCACTATATCATATTGCCTGGGGAAGAGATAATGCCACAAAAAAGAAGCTGGGAGCTGTTCAGGATGGCCAGAAAACTAATATCCAACCACAGTAACCTATAACAAAACCATCTTTGTAACAGGTAGCATTTCACAAAGAAATATGAGCAGGACATACATTCTATTCAATAATCGATAATACTGGCTCCTCAGTTAAAAACAAAAGGGCACTTTTCTGAGATACATCCTTCCAGGTACCATTTAACAATATCAAATTGTGAATGGTGATAAAGTTTGGCTGATATGTTGACTCTTGCATTTATGCCCAGAGAGTGTCCTTTAGGGAAATAGTCCTTCTAGATCTGATTATTTCTGGGCATAGTCTAGCCAAGTCTCACTGATGCTAGCATGCGCTGCTCCTGAAATGGCACAGCTGGCTGCCCAGAGTACAGAATACAGCATTCAGGTGATCAGAGATGAAACAACTAGGCAGCCAACAACATGCTTCTTGACAAGAGAAACACGAGGTTCCTATTGCAGAACTGACCCTACTGGAATTGAGGAAAGAGCTTATTGCTGTAGGCATGCTGGAATCTACAGCCAGCAGGAACATCATTGTGTGTGTGGGAGGAAGCTTCTTCTCTGGTTTGATAAGAGTTGGCTTGAATGGCTAAGAGCCCAGCAGGAAGGCCAGGTCCACTAGTGTACTGAATTTTGTCATCAGATTCCACTTAAGCACAAGTCCTGCCAGGATCTGTTCCCAAAATTAATCAATACAAAGGAACAACTGCATCTGACCTGGTCACTCATTTGACCTGGACCCCTCTGAAATTTTGTCCACAGGATGCTAGTGTTGCTGGAGTGGAATAGTGAATTCTTCTGTCCAATAAGGTAAGTTCTAAAAAGGAGAAAACAGTGTGGGGAGCAGATTACAGCCAGGGAAAATGAGACACATTTCCTGAACACAGAACAGACACCATCTTCCTTCCATTCCCACAGCTGCCAAAGAGCTCTAGCTCACAAATCTGAATGGATCTTGCCTGCTCAAAGCTCTTTATTGGCTCCTTTACATTCATGACATAAAATCCAAAATCTCTGCATAACACAATCAGGCCCATCTCTCTCTCTTCCTCCTCTACAGCCCTCCAATCCTACCTTATGCTTCAGCCGTGCTGAACAGACTTCAGGTCCCACAGCAAGTCCTGCCCTGCAGGGGTGCAACTGTGCACCCTCCTGCCTCTGTGAGGAACGCCTAACCTCCTTGTCTGCAGAGCACATTTCTGTCCCTCCTCTGAGCCTCAGCCCAGCTCTGACCTCCTCGGTGAAACATCCCCCTACTCTTCCAGCCCCCGAGGCTCTAAGGGCCTTTCTGTTTCCATAACCTAAGCTCTGGCATTATGTAGAAGGGTGGAGCTGAGGCTCTGAAGGGCAGTGAGTACATCCCTTCCATAACCTACATCACAGAGGCCTAGCAAAAGGCTTATCTTCTGGAAGGTGCTCAAATGTTTGTTGAAGTAGTGAATGAACACCACTTGCATTTTATCTCTGGTAATGTCTAAACAGAAGAAAATCACATTTGTCTTCTCAGAAGAGGGAAGATATTCAAATACTAAGAACTGCAGTTCCTGGTAAGACCTTTTAGAAAATGACGTCAGCAACAGTAGCAACTAGAAACTCAGCAGAATGCTTAAGGTATAAAACCAGAATGAAATGGGCCAAGACTTGAACAGTCATGGTTTAGGTAGACTGGGGCACAGGGGAGAGGGGACGGATCGGGGGGGCAGTTGGGAGAGTTTCAAGACTGTCTAAGCTTGTCTAAGGTTTAAGAATCACAAGTTCTTGGCTTTTCAACCATAAAAGCAATCTTGCTGAATGATACATTCACATGGGTACCTTGGGAAAGCTAGATCTGTACACCTATTAATAAAAAGGCCCTTAAAAAAAAGAAAAAAAGAATCACAAGTTCTTTTTTAAGAATCACATATATTTACATTGTGGATCTGGGATACACTTTTTACAGGAGTTAAGCTGTTTCCAGCTGGAGTGGCTTTGGAAAGTCCACTCTAAAATGAAGTCACCTATTGTCATCACTGTCCTCCCCCCCAAACCTTTGTTCTGAAACCAAGCACCTTCCTGTGACACCCAAAGGAGGCTGCTCTCTTTAGTTTTCCATGCGACTCCCAAGTTGGTCCAAGCTGTGGGGATCACTCTTCAGCTCAGGGGTGGACAGATGCTCCAGCTCATAGTGCCCATTGTCAAAGGCCTTATGTGTGGGTTTCTCTTTCATGCCCTCCTTCTGGCTCCTCTTGTGCTCAATAATCTGCTGGAGCTGGTGCCCAGCATACTCTGGCTTGGTGGTCAGTGGGCCCCCAGCTGGCACAGCCACACCAAGAATATCTGACACCATGTACGGGCGTAGCCAGCCCACCAGAGGAGTGCTTCCAGGGCTATAGTGGGTCTGCTTGTGGTAGAAGAGAAGCCCATCCACCTATGAGAAAAGAGACCAGGGATCAAAATGACTTCTGAGGCCACATGTTTTTAGGAGAGCCTAGACACACGGGGCAGCTCTAGTGGTTTAAATCCTTTTTCTGAGTCACTGCCAGAGGAAAGAGTTCTCATTTCTCACACATGCAATTTCTCTAAATGAAGAAATGGCCTAGAAAATGAAATTTTAGAAAATAAAAAAACATAAATAGCACATTCCTGTTTATAGTGTGCTTCCCTACCCACTACTTCACCCTTTTACCCACCATGAGGGTATTTTTGAGATGGGGCTGGCTCAAAGTTCTGGGGGCTTCTGTAATAACACAGTTAGTATGAAGTAGAAATTCAACTTGAACCCAAGTCCTCTCCCTAAATCCCATGCACTCCCACCACCCAGAGATCTCATAGTGGGTTATGTGTTCTGCACATGGAACAAAGCAGGGGAACTGGATAGGCCCATATGAGATGCTGGACTGCTGAGCACAGAGGAAACCTGTGTGGTCAGTGGTTGAGCAGTGACCTATAAACCAGGAGGTCATGGTTCAATTCCTGGTCAGGGCACATGCCCGGTGTGGGCCTGATCCCCAGTTGGGGACGTGCAGGAGGCAGCCGATCAATGATTCTCTCTCACCCATTGATGTTTCTATCTCAGACTCCTTTTCCTTCCTCTGAAATCAATAAAAATACATTATTAAGAACAAAAAGAAGCCATGCTCCCCAAGCCATTGTTGGCTGCCTAACTCTTTCCCCTAAATTGTTGCAAGCTATGTTCTAGGAAACTCGGTTTTTCTTAATGGTAAGATTTCCTACAGTCCCAAATTTTCTTTTCTGGGAGTCAGCAACTCATCTCTAAAAAGCATTTACTGGATCAACCAAAGGACTTGTATGCATGCATATAAGCCTAACCAATGGACACAGACACCAGGGTGGTGAGAGCAGGAATGGGGGGGACGACATTGGGGGAATAAGGACATATATGTAATACCTTAATCAATAAAGAAAAAAAAAAGCATTTACTGTAACTTTATTTATAGTATAAGGGCTATAAGTAAAAATAAAGATGGCAGTCACCCTGGTTAGTGTGGCACAGTAGTTAGAGCATCAGCCCTAACACTGAAGGGTCTCGGGTTTGATTCACGCGTACCTGGGTTGTGAGTTCACTCCTCAGGGCGAGTGCGGTAGGCAACCAGTCCATGTGTTAGTGTCACATCAATGTTTCTCTCTCTCTCTCTCCCCTCCCCCTTCCCCTCCCTCCCTTCCTCTTTCTCTTAAATGGAAACTGAACTGAGTCTCCCAGCACAGACTGTTGCCAGCGGAACAGGTCAGGGTTGTGGAAAAAAGAGTTGAAAGAACCAAAATTAGGTAAAATGTACCCAACCGGACAGTGAAAAGAATATGGCTGCTTTGGTTATAACATGAGGAAGCAAGTACTTGGATTGACCATCTCACCAAACTATATACAACTTCTGACAAAGATAGGTGGGTACCTTTGGGAAGGGAAAAGCAATGCTTAATGTCCAAATAGACATATGTTCATGACATATATGAAAAGACTCTTCCTATCCCCTGTCCTTAAGAGGTATAGCTAGACACTATCAAGCCATGCCTTCTAAATCTTAAGCCATTGGTTATATATGAATCACAACTGAGTCACATGTCTAAAGAGCTGTTTTAGTCTGTCCAGTGTTGTTTAGTGGTTAGAGCACTGGCCTTTCACCAAAATGTCACAGGTTCTATTCCTTGTCAAGGGCCTGTATCTGGACTGCAGGTTCATTCTGCACACTGGGGCACGTATGGGAGGCAACCAGTTGATGTGTCTCTCTCATATTGATTCATTCTCTCTCTCTCTCTCTCTCTCTCTCTCTCTCTTTCTCTCTCTCTTCCTCCTTTTCTCTTTCTCTTAAAAGCAATGGAAAAAATATCCTCAGGTGAGGATTAACAAAAATAGATAAATAAAAATAAAGATGGTGTTCTTACTACCTTCTTAATTGACTCCCAGAAATGAAGGCAACCGCCGGAAGCTGTGACCCCTTCTGCAAAATATATCCAGTTCAAGCAAAGACTTGTAGGTGACTAGGCAGAATTTTAAAGGGTATGTTGGGCAAAGGAAAGTTTGCTTATTGAGACTGGAGAGGATAACTGCAGGTTCTAAGGATGACAGAAGACTGCTCAAGACTGAAGAGCTGCTGACAATGGGAGATTTTCAACACTAAGACTGAGAAAGTCCTGGACACAAACTGGGATGAGTTCGTCACCTGCCCCATGCCATTGCTCAGCAATCACTGACATACTCAGGGATCATTTGCTCTTCCTAGGAAAGAAGAATTAGAAGTTTACATTCCTGTGGTCCATCAGTCAAAGAAGCCCCTTTACTTTACAACCAGCCATGGCAGTCACACAAAGGGCCTGGTTTTCAAGCTTACAGCAGGAAGGGGCAAACAAAGAACAATCTAGGAATGAAAGCCTCACCCTGATCTGGGCCTCAATTTCTCTATCTGTAAATTGAGAGCGTTAGATGCGGTGTCCTTTCAGGGCCTCCTAGCTCTGGCATTCTGATTTATGTAGAAGGGTGGAGCTGAGGCTCTGAAGGGCAGTGAGTACATCCCTTCTTAGATATCAGCTTTCAAGCCCTTTTCTTTTTCTTAAAGAGATTTTAGAGAGAAGAAAGGGGGGAGGGGCTAGAAAGAATCATCGATAGGTTGTCTCCCACATGCACTCTGACAAGGAATCGAATCCGAAATTTTTTGGTGTCCAAGATGACATTCCAAGCAACCTTCTGAGCCACACCAGTCAGGGCTCAGCCCTTTTCTGATGCTTTAACATAGCAAAGTCAAAAGATATCTTAAGACTGTGTAACCAAGTTTTCCAGTGTCCTGAAACCACATCAGAACAATAAAGACAATGACTTTGTTACCTCAAAAGGGAAATCCATCGACAGCACCTTACACAGGCTCTCAGGGGTACAAGGAAAATTCTTTAGCCCCACAAATTTAAACTAAAATATAAATTAGAACAAAGAATTAGTACATATTACAAATAATACTATTCTAGCAACTGAAAAACTATATCAAAGAAGTTTTTTGTCTCTTCCTTCCCAGCTACTTCCCCTCCACCTACATGCTGAATTACTAGGTCAGTGGTTCTCAACTTTGCTTTATACAGGAGAATCATTTGGGGAACTCTTAAAAATTACTGATGCCCAGGCCCCACCCTGAGATTCTGACTGAAATGGTCTGGAAGAAGCCCAGACAGTGATTTTAACATATAGTCAGGATTGAGAACCAGGGTCCTACACTAGGTTTAGGGATTATATGTTATTCTTCCAGCCCTCTGACAATTGCCCCTAATGAAGGAGTAGTTGAACTTCTTTCACACCAGCAAGGATTTAATTAATTAATTAATTTATTTATTTATTATTTTTACCAGTATTTCTTTTAGCAGCAAGGATTTTTAGACTAAAGCAGTATAACTAGTGCTTTGACTCCCAGCTCTGCCAATCATTTTATCTCTATATGATTTCATTTTCCCATCTATAAAATGGGATAAAAATATCAGCGTCATAGGGTTGTTGTGTGGATTCAATGAGATAATACATGTAAGAGCACTAGAACTGCTCCCATGCTCCCCCTTTTCTTAATACACATTTTTGCAGGATGTTATTGATAACATCACTGGAAGTACTGACCCCATTTATTGTCCTGTAACTGTTACCTAATTGCCTTTAAAAATGTTGTAACAAAAAAACAACAACAAAAACAAAAAAGAAAGAAAGAAAAGAAGAGCTGGCTGGCGTGGCTCAGTGGTTGAGCATTGACCTATGAACCAGGAGGTCACGGTTCAATTCCCAGTTAGGGCATATGCCCGGGTTATGGGCTCAATCCCCAGTGTGGGGCGTGCAGGAGGCAGCCGATCAATGATTCTCTCTCGTCACTGATGTTTCTATCTCTCTCCTCCCTCTCCCTTCCTCTCTGAAATCAATAAAAATATATTGAGAAAAAGAATGTAGGCAGTCCGGCCATTGTAGCTCAGTGGTTGAGCATCAGCCTATGAACCAGGAAATGGTGATTCAATTCCTGGTCAAGCAAGGCACATGCCCAGGTTTCGGGCTTGATACCCAGTGAGGGGCATGCAGGAAAGGGCCAATCAATGATTCTCTCTCATCACTGATGTTTCTATCTCTATCTCCCTCTCCCCTCCCCTCTCTGAAATCAATAAAAACATACCAGTATTCTTAAAAAATGTTGTAAATAATCCAGGCAAATACCAATCTACAGGGCTTATTAAATGTCCTCAAAATAGCTGTCATATATTTAATCATTGAGCAGATAACACACACACTTGAACTACCATCTGTACTGTGGGACCTTGGGGAAGGCAGTCCCCTCTCTGAGTCTATATTCTCATCTGTAAAATGAGGGAACTGACTAGATGAAGTTACTCTCAGCTCAGATATAAGAGCAGAGGTTATCAAAATGTGGTTCATGGACCAGCGATATTAGCATCACTGGGGAACTTTAGCATTTCACACCAACGTTATGGACTCAATCCCCAGTGTGGGGCGTGCAGGAGGCAGCCGATCAATGATTCTCTCTCGTCACTGATGTTTCTATCTCTCTCCTCCCTCTCCCTTCCTCTCTGAAATCAATAAAAATATATTGAGAAAAAGAATGTAGGCAGTCCGGCCATTGTAGCTCAGTGGTTGAGCATCAGCCTATGAACCAGGAAATGGTGATTCAATTCCTGGTCAAGCAAGGCACATGCCCAGGTTTCGGGCTTGATACCCAGTGAGGGGCATGCAGGAAAGGGCCAATCAATGATTCTCTCTCATCACTGATGTTTCTATCTCTATCTCCCTCTCCCCTCCCCTCTCTGAAATCAATAAAAACATACCAGTATTCTTAAAAAATGTTGTAAATAATCCAGGCAAATACCAATCTACAGGGCTTATTAAATGTCCTCAAAATAGCTGTCATATATTTAATCATTGAGCAGATAACACACACACTTGAACTACCATCTGTACTGTGGGACCTTGGGGAAGGCAGTCCCCTCTCTGAGTCTATATTCTCATCTGTAAAATGAGGGAACTGACTAGATGAAGTTACTCTCAGCTCAGATATAAGAGCAGAGGTTATCAAAATGTGGTTCATGGACCAGCGATATTAGCATCACTGGGGAACTTTAGCATTTCACACCAACCACTATTTATTTATTTATTTATTTATTTATTTTTTTAATTAAATCTTTATTGTTCAGGTTACATTTGTTGGGTCCGAGTCCCCAGCGATTCGCCCGTATCTGGAGCTCAGAGTCTGAGACTCCCCCCTGACCGAAAACGACAACCGCGCTCTCAGCCACCAGCCCGCTTTGCGCGCGCACCTCCGCACCTGAGTTTTTTCCACACTGCGCCTCCTCTGAGCCTCGGTGTGCTGTTATTTTTCCTTCTAGTTGAAGAGTCTCTCCTCAGCCAGCCTTCCTGTGGTTCTGGGTGATGTCCGTTCCGTCTTTTAGTTGTATTTTTGAAGTGGTTGTTTGCGGCAGCAGTCTCCGGTGTTTACCTATGCCGCCATCTTGGTCTCTTCCTCCCCATGAGCATCCCAACCACTATTTATTGAGAGCCTACCATAAGTACTATGCTAGGAGGACATACATATTTTTCTCATTTAGTTCTTAGAACCACCCTGTAAAATAGATATTATTAATCCTATTATACAGATGAAGAAACTAAGGCCAAGTGATGTTTTTAGCTTAGCCTAATAATTATTAAAGCCAAAACTGGAATTCAGATCCGGATGACTGTTAAGCCTATAATCTTCCTATTATGCTGTACTACCTCAAAATTAAAGAATTTCATTCATAATGGTTGTATGTAGATAATAGATCATTCCAAACCAATCCACATAAAGAACTCTGCAACCCTAATCCCAGGCCTTACAGGATTGAGCTTGGTGTTCTCTCCCAGTCCTTCTTCTTCTGGCAACTTTGAATGCATCCAGTAGAATCGGAAATCAGTCTGCCACAAAAAAAAGACAAAGATAAAATACAGCTCATCTCAAACTCTAATAGGAGCAAAAAACCACATTCTAAATAGCCACCTGATTTATGAAGACCTAAGCCCTTCTATCATTACCCTCATTTCCTTAAAACACTGCCATCAGATCAGGAAGATATTTATAAAATCTTTGAAGATTTTTTCTTTCATTTTTTTCTTTAGATTTGCCAACGTGTCAAAAATAACCTTTATTACTTTTGTAACAGCCTCTATGTTCTCACACTTTCTTGCCAGAAGCCTTTGTAGCAGGTGCTTTCAGGGCTGGAGCTTTCAGACCCTTGTGCTTTTCAAGGTGCTGCCTTCTGGCCTACAGCTTTCTAGGCAGACACTCTCTGGACTGGAGCCGTCTTGCCTGTAGCGATCACTTTTATTTTTTAAAGAATAGTTTATTGATTTTTAGAGAGAGAGAGGGTTTATTGATTTTCAGAGAGAGAGAGAAAGGGAAAGAAACACTGATGTGAGAGCACAACATCAATTGGTTGCCTCCTGCATGCCCTCCTCCACCAGGGATGGAGCCAAAACCCGGGCATGTGCACTGACTGGGAATAGAACTGGCGACCTTTCTGGGCATGTGATGACACCCAACCAACTGAGCCACATCGGCCAGGGCCAGTGGCCACCATTTTTGCTGGAACCTTTGCAGAAGCAGTTGTAGCTCCACCTTTAACAGCAGGTGCTTTTTGGGGAGCTTTCAGGAGAGCTGTCCCCCCCTTTTTTTGGCTAATCCTCACTAGAGGATAGTTTCTCCATTGATTTTTAGAGAGGGTAAGGAAGGTGGGGGAGGGAGAAGGAGAGAAACATCTATGTGAAAAAGACACATCCATTGGTTGCCTCCCACATGTGCCCCAACTGGAGCCAGGGATCGAACCTGCAACCCAGGTATATGCCTTTGACCAGGAATCAACCCGTGACCCTTTGGTTCATGGGCTGCCACTCTAACCATGATCCACACTGGCCAGGACAGAACTGCCTTTTAAAGGTTTCTAACTTCAAACTTGATTATTCAGTTCCTCATTTTCTTTACCTTCATGACTCGGCAATGATTAAACCTGTCATCTTGGCTTGCATTTCTCTGGCTTCAATCTTCTTGGCCCATCTTGTGGCTGCCAGGCTTGTTAAGCAAACTTCTGGCGGGCACTATGTGAGAACTTGAGGATGAAGACAGTAAGCTGCATGCATTTGAAAGTCATGGCCTGTCTCCTTACTTGAATGGAAGTTCCATTAACCAAAGCCCTGTTCTGATGGATAATATCTATAATCTCGAGCAGCTTCGTGGCAAGAGGCCCAAAGGAAAGGTAGGTCACCCAGGCAACCTCCATGAAGCACCTGAACACCATGTTGATTGGGTTGTGTGAGAAGTAAGAAGGCATGAAGATTTTTTTAAAAAAAAATCCAGTAGTATTATTAATGGCAGTAGACCAAATATTTATTATGGAAGACCTACTATTGTCCAGCTCCAAGCTAAGAACTGTACAAACATAATCTTATTAATCCAAAACCACCCTGTGAGAGTTGTATTATCATTATCTCTATTCTACAGGTGAAAGGGCGGAGGCTCAGAGACATTACGTCACTTGCCTAGTTGCACACAAAAAATACTAAGAGACCAGGACTCTACAACTCCAAATCACATTAGGTTGACCTTTGTTTTATTTTAATCCTGAGGACTAGAAACTACTACTACATAGCTGTAATTTCTCATAAACTACTTGATTCTCTGAATCAGTGATATAAACCTTACTGTACTTACTTACGTCATTTTCTTTCCTTACATTATTTAGCTTTCAGAAACCAAAAACATAGTCTTTTCTTTATATTATAAAAACAGAGGTGGTTTTGCCTAGCCAGTGGGGCTCAGTGGTTGAGCATCGACCCATGAACCAAGAGTACAAGGTTCGATTTCCCATCAGGGCACATGCCCGGGTTGCGGGTTGGGTCCCCAGTAGTGGGTATACAGTTGGCAGATGATCAATGATTCTCTCTCATCATTGATGTTTCCTGGAAAGATTTTTTTAAAATATATTTTTATTGATTTCAGAGAGGAAGGGAAAAGGAGAGATAGAAACATCAATGATGAGAGAGAATCATTGATTGGCTGCCTCCTGCATGCCCCCTACTGGGGATTGAGCATACAACCTGGGCATATGTCCTTGATGGGTATCAAACCTGGGACCCTTCAGTTCGCAGGCCAACGCTCTATCCACTGAGCCAAACCGGCTAGGGCTCATCATTGATATTTCTATCTCTCTCTCCCTCTCCTTTCTTCTCTGAAATCAATGCAAATAGTTGGAGGGTAAAAGATTAAGTTTAAAACAAAAAATAGGTGGTTTTAGTTACCAAATTCATATATTGTAAATGCATGTTAGAAAATATCCTTCAACAGAATTACAGGAAAATATGTTTGGACTGATTTAAGACTACTGAGTTTTAGGTTTGGCTCTGCACGTGGGCAAGGTACATAACAGTGGTTCTCAAATTCCCTATCAAAAGGATTAGAAATAAGAGTACTTACCTTTTAGAGATGTTGTAAGGAATTCAATGACATAATGCTCAAGATTGCTTAGTAATGCATGTCCTGGAGAATATTGTTAGAACGAGGAGCATGTTAGAGTTTCAAAGTACCACCACTGAGCAGATGAGGAAACCTAGCTTTGAGGAATGACATTAAAGAAATAGCCTACCCAGCTCATGTGACTCAGTGGCTGAGCATCAACCCATGCACCAGGAGGCCCCAGTTCAATTCCTGGTCAGGGCACATGCCCAGGTTTCTGGCTCGATCCCCAGCAGGGGGTGTGCAAGAGACAGCCAATCAATGTTGATGATGTTTCTCTTTCTCTCCCTCTCCCGTTCTCTCTCTAAAAAACAAAAAAGAAATAGCCTATGGTGATAACCCATGATTGTCACACTTGGCCTGCATGAGGAGCACCTGCAGGCTGATTAAAATATAATCCACCCCAATAGTTTCTCATTCAGTAGGTCTGAGAACTTTCATTTATTTTTATTTTTTCAATTACAGTTGAAATCCCCTATTATTTTATATTGGTTCTGGCATATAGCATAAGGTTTAGACATTTATACAATTTATAATGTCTTAGTACCCACCTGACACCACACGTAATTACAAAATTGACTAATTCCCTATAAAATTATTGGCTGTACTTTACATCCCCATGACTATTTTGTAACTGCCAATTTGTATTCTTAATCCTTTCACATTCTTAAACCAGCCCCCCAAACCTCCTCCCATCTAGCAACCATCAGTTTGTTCTTTATATCTATTTCTGTACTCCTTGGTCATTTATTTTGATCTTTAGATTCCACATGTAAATGAAACCATAGATTATTTGCCTTTCCCAGTCTGACTTATTTCATTTCTAAGTCCATCCATGTTGTCACAAATGGTAAGATTTCATTCTTTTTCATGGCTAATATGCCCTTGTACATGATTCACCTTATTTATCCAATCATCTACTGATGGGCAGTTGGGTTGCTTAATATCTTGCTGTTGGAAATAGGGGTGCATATATCTTTTAGAATTAGTGTTTTGGATTTCTACCAATAAATAAAGACAGAATTGCTGGTTAATAAAGTAGTTCTAGTTTTAATTTTCTGAGGAACCTCCATACTGTTTTCCGAAGTGGCTGCATCAATTTGCAATACAACCAACAGTGCACAAGGATTCCCTTTTCTCCACAGCCTCCCCAACTCTTGGTGTTTGCTGACTTTTTGAGGATAGTCATTCTGACAAGTATGAGATAATATCTCATTGTGGTTTTAATTTGCATTTCTCTGATGATTAGTGACATAGAGAATCTTTTCATCTTTCTATTGGTCATCTGTATGACCTCTTTGAATAAATGTCCATTTAGGTTCTTTGCCCATTTTTTAATTGGGTAGTTTGATTTTTGGTGTTAAGTTATGAGTTCTTTATAAATTTTGGATATTAACTCCTTATCAGATATATTATTGGCAAATATAGCCTCCCATTCAGTAGGCTGTCTTTTCCTTTTGTTGATTGTTTCCTTTACTGTGTAAAAACTTTTTAGTTTGCCCAGACGGTGTGCTCAGTGTTTGAGCAAGACGTTATGGTTCAATTCCTGGTCAGGGCACATGCCCGGGTTGCAGGCTAGATCCCCAGTTGGGGGTGTACAGGACACAGCCGATCAATGATGTTCCTCTCTCATTGGTGTTTCTATCGCTCTCCTTTCCCCAACCTCTAAAAATCAATTAAAAATAAAACATTAAAAAAAAAACTTTTATGATTCTGAGTCTTACATTTAAGTCTTTAAACCATATACAAGAATAAAATCAAAATGGATTAAGAAGGTGGTCTAGTTTCACTTTTTGCACATATCTGTCCAGTTTTCCCAACACCATTTATTGAATACACTATCTCAGTGGTTGGCAAACTGCGGCTCGAGAGCCACATGCAGCTCTTTGGCCCCTTGAGTGTGGCTCTTCCTAAGCCTTAGGAGTACCCTAATTAAGTTAATAACAATGTACCTACCTATATAGTTTAAGTTTAAAAAATTTGGCTCTCAAAAGAAATTTCAATCGTTGTACTGTTGATATTTGGCTCTGTTGACTAATGAGTTTGCCGACCACTGCACTATCTTTACCCTAATTGATATTCTTGCCTCCTTTATCATAGATTAATTGACCATAGAGTTTAGGTTTACTTCTGGGCTTTCTACTCTGTTCCATTGAACTATGAATCTGCTTTTATGCCAGTACCATGTTATTTTGATTACTATAACCTTGTAATATAGTTTAATATCAGGTAGCATGATATGTCCAACTTTGTTATTTCCTTCTCAAGATGGCTTTGGCTTTTAGTGCCTTTTTGGGTTCCATATAAATTTAGAATTATTTCTTCTATTTCTGTAAAAAATGTCGTTGTTATTTTGATAAGGACTGCAAAGAATCTCGAGTGCTCTGCACAGTATAGACATTTTAGTGAT